AAAAAAATCCCAGCTACAAAATGGCTTCACTAATTAATTCAAATGATACAAAATCAAAACACAAAAATTAAGTATAGGTCTATATACCAGAAACAGGCAATTTGGAATAAACTAACAACAATAATTTCATTCACAATAGTAAAAAAGAATAAAATATTTAGTGGGAAAAGCATGAACCATAAGAGGAAAAAATAATAGATTAAACTTGATCAAAACAAAAAACTTTTGTAATACAAAATATACTATTAAGAAAATGGAAAGAGAAGCCACATACTGGGAGAAAATATTTGCAAATCACATATCCAATAAAGAACATGCATCCAGAATTTATAAAGAATCTTACAACTCAATATTAAAAAGATGACTCAATTTTACTTTATTTTGTGTGTGTGTGTGTGTGTGTGTGTGTGTTTAGAAGCAGGGCCTCACTATGTTATTCAGGCTGGTCTCATACTCCTGGCCTCAAGTATCCTCTTTCTTTGGCCCCCCAAAGTGTTGAAAGTATAGGCATGAGCCACCATGCCTGGCTGACAACTCAGTTTTAAAATGAGCAAAGACTGAATAGACAATTCACCCAATATAAATAGCTATTAAACACATGAAAATATGTTTAACATCATTATCAGTAAGAAAATGCAAATTAAAACAACACTAGGCACGGTGGCTCGTGCCTATAATCCCAGCGCTTCGGGAGGCTGAGATGGGTGGATCACTTGAGGCCAGGAGTTTGAGAGCAGCCTGGCCAACATGGTGAAACCCCATCTCTAGTAAAAATACAAAAATTACCTAGGTGTGGTAGTGCATGCCTGTAATCCCAGCTTCTTGGGAGGCTGAGGCATGAGAATTGCTTGAACCCAGGAGGTGGAGGTTGCAGCGAGCCAAGATCATGCCACTGCACTCCAGCCTGGGAGACAGAGCAAGACTCTGTCTCAAAAAATAAACAAACACATAAACAAACATATGAGATACCACTACACGCCTACTAGAATGGCTATAATAAAAAAGACAACAAGCCAACTCTGGGTGTACTGCCTATGAGTTGACCCTGCTCTGCAAGGAGCAGTTAAAAAAAATGTTTTTAAAAGACAACAAGTGTTGGTGAGTAGGTAGAGAAAATGAAACCTTAATACACTGCTGATGGGACTATAAAAATGGTATAGGCACTGTAGCAAATAGTTTGGTAGGTTCTTACAAAGTTAAATATTGGCTTACAGTGGTTCTCACCTGTAATCCCAGGACTTTGGAAAGCTGAGGTGGGAGGATCGCTTTAGCCCAAAAGTTCAAGACCAGCCTGGGTAACAAAGCGAGACCCTATCTCTATTTTATTTTAAGTGAAAAAAAAAAAAAGTTAAATGTCAACTTACCATATGACCTAGCAATTCCATTCTTAAAAATCTACCCAAGAAAAATGAAAACAAATATCCATACTGATACATGTATGAGAATGTTCATAGCAGCAATATTCATAATAGCCAAAAACTTGAAACAATCCAAGTGTCCATCAGCTGGTGAGTGAATAAACAACATGTGGTATATCCATACAATGGAATACTATTCAGCAATAAAAAGGAACCGAACTACTGATACCAGCTACAACATATATATGAATGAATATCAAAAGCCTATGCTAAGTAAAAGGACCTAGATGCAAAAGACTATACACTGTTTTATTCCATATATATAAAATGTCCAGAAATAGCAAATTTATAGAGACAGAGAGGAAATTAGTATTTGGCTGGCTAGGGGGTTGGGAGTGGAAATAGGATCGACTGCAAAGAGACATGAGAGAATTTTTTGGTGTGATGAAATGTTCTCATAACATACAGTCCATAACTGGACTGTAGTTATGGCTGTGCAACTATAAATTTATTAAAAATCATTTATACTTAGGATGGTAAATTTTATTGCATGTGAATTAGACCTCAACAATACTGTTTTAACAAAAGATTTTTTAAAAAGCTAGTAAGCTCAATGTTTTATACACACACACACACACACACACACACACCCCTCCTCAAGTAAAGTAATACTGCTCAATTTACTTTATTTCTATCATACTGCTCCACCATATAGTGGCCTCTATTGGCCAAAAGGAGAGATTCCGATTAGTTGGTTACTAGTTGCTTTTTTTTTTTTTTTTTTTTGAGACAGAGTGTCAGTCAGTCACCCAGGCTGGAGTGCAGTGGCTTGATCTCAGCTCACTGCAACCTCTGCTTCCAAGGTTCAGCCTATTCTTGTGCCTCAGCCTCCCAAGGAGCTGGAGTTACAGGCATGTGCCACCACACCCGGCTAATTTTTGTATTTTTGGTAGAGACAGGGTTTCGCCCTGTAGGCCAGGCTGGTCTCAAACTCCTGACCTCAAGGCATCCATCTGCCTTGGCCTCCCAAAGTGCTGGGATTACAGGCATGAGCCACCATGCCTGGCCTAAATTTTATATTTATGATGTATCCACTATATAAACTAGGCATAGAAATGGCTATGGTTTCATCAAAGAGAATTCTTAGGATATAAAGTCTAAATTGTGCCCATTTAGAGGAAAGCAGACGGGAAAAACAGAATAAAAGGACATAAGAAGCACAAGCAAACTCACTTGCTCCCGATCTAAACCATACCTATAAAATATACTTGATAAGAATAACTGTTTTTTTTAAATAATTCATATAACTGACGGACCTCATCCAGTGAACTCAAGACCACATTCAAAGAAAGATACCAATAAAAAGCCTTTTATTTCAAGTGTATGCTACATAAGTGAAATGTAAATTAAAGAAAGAAGTCACTTGATTTCTTCACCTTTGGAGGGCAGACTAGCATAAGCTTTGGAGTTAGCTTGGATTCAAATCCTAGCTCTATTTTCTCATTCATCAGCTGACCTTGGGCTTATTATTTAATTTATCAAAGCCTCAGTACTTACTGCTATAAAATGGAGAACATATTTTATTGGAAAGGACTGTTGGGAGTATTGCTTAACCTATAGCAATCATATAATAAATAAATCATACATAATTACTGTTATTTCCATTTAGAAGTTGACAATAAATTTTTATTTTAAATGGTCTTCATGTTCAATACTTATAAGAAACCAGTTCACCAATTCATTGAGCATTTATTAAATGTGTCCAAAGAACTGTGTTTAAGCTCTATGGAGAGATAGTTGTTGAAACACTAAACTATTAAAAATCATTAAAGGGGCCAGGCATGGTGGCTCACGCTTGTAATGCCAGCACTTGGGGAGGCCAAGGTGAGTGGATCACCTGAGGTCAGGAATTTGAGACCAGCCTGGCCAACATGGTGAAACCCTGTCTTTACTACAAATACAAAAAATTAGCCAGGCATGGTGGTGGGCACCTGTAATCCCAGCAACTCTGGAGGCTGAGGCAGAAGAATCACTTGAACCTGGAGGCAGAGGTTTCAGTGAGCCAAGGTTGCACCATTGCACTCCAGCCTGGGCAACAAGAGCTAAACTACATCTCAAAAAAAAAAAAAAAAAAAAAAAAATCCTTAAAGGGAAAACCACTGATAAACATTGAAAAGATGTTATAGTGTATTAAGTGAAAAAGATTGCCAAACAGTAGTAATGGTATGATCCTGTTTTTATAAGCACACATGTATATTTATATACACTCACACACACAAATACACATATGTATGATACTAAACCAAATTATGCAAGCCATAATAAGATGAGCATAATATACATATATAGATGCTAAACCATATTTTGGTTTGGTTATGGTTTAGCATCATACATATGTATATTATGGTCATCTTTCAGTGGTATGGTAAAAATAATTTTATTTTCTTTTTTCTTAGGTATACTTTCTCTTTTTTTGAGACAGGGTCTCATTCTGCCGCCCAGGCTGGAGTGCAGTGGTCTTATCTCAACTTACTGCAGCCTCCACCTCCTGGGCTCAGGCAATCCTCCTACCTTAACCACTGGAGTAGCTGGGGACTACAGGTGCGCACCAGCACACCCAACCAATTTTTGTATTTTCTGTAGAGACATGGTTTCCCCATGTTGCCCAGGCTGGTCTCAAACTCCTGGGCGCAAGTGATCCTCCCACCTTGGCCTCCCAAAGTGTTGGGATTACAGGCATGAGCCACCATGCCTGGCCTATCTTTTCTAATTTTCATATGAACATTTAACACTACTTTAAAAAAAGGGAAAAGTTGAAGAAATGTTGATCATTAGTACACTGTATACAGATTGGCTCAGATGGAATGTAGGCAATTAGCATCCTGAATTAGAACTGGAAAGAAAGACTTAGAGGGCACAGAATACACCATGTTCCTGTTTAGAAAGATTAAAACAGAACGAAGTCTGAATAACATTTATAATTCATTCCATGAAAGACTCTTTAGATCAGAATGTTATGCTTAGTTTCAAGTGCTGCTTCTAGTTTTTTAGAATTTGAGTTAATTAACTTATCATTTGGAGTAGTTTTCTAAGAGTAGAAAAGAGAAAATTATCCTTAATTTTCTGGCACAGTTAGAGGTAAATGGACAGAATAGAAAAATCACACAAAAGGTTCTCTGGGTTTGGGACTCCACAGAAAGCAGGGTTACTAGGCCATGGCCGAGGGCTGGTATGTGTTTCCTATTCAAACAGCTGGCAGGATGGAAGCACGACCTTACTCTTGATAAGCGAATTGCTGCTACTGAGTTCAGTGCCTCCAGTGACTGGGGTGTTATTGGAAACATAATACCTTAGGCCAGCTAATATGTTGAAGCCCACTCAGGAGTCCCTTTGAATTATCTCTCTGTTCCCAACATTACTGGCTTCTCAGTAATGGAAGAAAATGATTCTGACATCTGCCTTCCACCTGTGAGAGGAGGGAGAAGTGGCAATAGAGGCAACAGTAAGAACAGCCTTCCCAAAACTAAGATTCCACTGCTGCCAACATCTACAAGTCTTGATTATTTGGGAACGGATAAAGCAAAATGTCAGAACTAAATTTTCGCTGAACAATAAGGTAAACTAATAAACTGGAAAACTCACCTGAAAACATTTTTACAAAGTCATCAGTAGACATACTCATCACCACATCTGCCTGATCAGAAGGCTCTCCATATCCGACATTCCCACCCTTGCTTTTCAGATCAAGAAACCACGTGCCACCATCTTCACCTAGAGAGATAAACATATGGAAATCAATGTTATAGGAGCCCTGTTCTTCTTAAATTTAATAATTACTTCAATTAGAATAATCTTACAAAATGCTGTTTCCCAAGTTAAAATCCCCAGACCTCCATCAGTCAAATTCAGCAAATATTTATTAAGCATGTCCAGGTACTCTGCTAGGCTCTGAAGACTCTTCAATTAAAAAAAAAAAAAAAAAAAAAATGGTTCTACTCACAAAAGAGGAAGTAGAGGGTGATGTGGGAGCATATTAAAGAGTCAAAATACCCGGAGTAAGAAAACTCATAAAGACAGAAAGTAGAATAGTGGTTCCTAGGGACTGGGGGATGGGGGAATGGGAGTTACTGTTTAATAGGTATAGAGTTTCACTTGGAATGATGAAAAAGTTCTGGAGATAGATGGTGATGATTGTTTTTTGTTTTGTTTTGTTTCCTTTTTTTCTTTTTTGGAGATGGAGTCTTGCTCTGTCACCCAGGCTGGAGTGCAGTGGCTCAATCTCGGCTCACTGCAAGCTCCGCCTCCTGGGTTCACGTCATTCTCCTGCCCCAGCCTCCCAAGTAGCTGGGACTACAGGCGCCTGCCACTGTGCCCAGCTAATTTTTTGTATTTTTTGTAGAGACGGGTTTTCACCGTGTTAGCCAGGATGGTCTCGATCTCCTGACCTGGTGATCCGCCTGCCTCAGCCTCTCAAAGTGCTGGGATTACAGGCGTGAGCCACTGCACCTGGCTGGTGATGACTGTTATAAAACAATGTGAATGCATTTAATGCTACTAAGCTGTACACTTAGAAGTGGTTAAAATAGGCCGGGCATGGTGACTCACACCTGTAATCCTAGCACTTTGGGAGGCCAAAGTGGGCAGATCACCTGAGGTCAGGAGTTCGAGACCAGCCTGGCCAACATGGTGAAACCCTGTTTCTACTAACAATACAAAAAATTAGCCAGGTGTGGTGGGGAGCACCTGTAATCCCAGCTACTTGGGAGGCTGAGGCAAGAAAATTGTTTGAACCCGGGAGGCAGAGGTTGCAGTAAGCCAAGATCACGCCATTGCACTCCAGCTTGGGCAACAAGAGTGAAACTCCGTCTCAAAAGAAAAAAAAAGAACAAAAGAAATGGTTACAATTTTATGTATCTTTTACTGCAATGCAAAATTAAATTTTCAAAAAGGGTCAGGAAAGCTCAGTTGAAGCTGAGATTTGAAAGTTAAGTAAGAATTAGCTGGATGGACATGGTAGAGGGAAAGTATTTCAGGCAATGGGAACAGCATATGCAGAAAAGCCAGAATCAAGAGTGCAGCATATGTGAGGAACTGAAAAAAACACAGTGGTACTAGAAGGTAGATGGGTGTTGGATGAGCTTGTGAGGCAGTCTAGGTCTGAGCACAGCCAGTCATGTAAAAGATTGAATGACTTCATCCTACAGGATGTGTCATATGGTAAGGTTTGCGTATGGCCCTACCTGCAGTGTAGATAATACATGGAGAGAAATCAAAAGAATGGAGAGGGCTAGTAAGGATGGTGTTGGGATAGTTCAGGAGCTTGAGGGTGCATGCCTGGACTGGGAGCGTGGCAGAGGCATGGAGAAAAGTGGGTACATTTGAGAGAGAATTTCAAGGCAGAACCATAAGACTAGGTAACTGCATATGAAGAGGAAAAGGTGGGGAGGGTACATAGGAATGATCTGCTAGTTCTTGGCTTGGGTGGATTTGTTTTTTAAGTGGAAGAAGACTACTGAAGAACAACAGATTGCTTTATTTTTAATTTTTTAAGACAGGTCTTGCTGTGTTGCCCAGGCTAGAGGGAAGTGGCATGATCACCACTCACTGCAGCCTCGACCTTCTGGGCTTAAGCAGCCTTCCTGTCTCAGTCTCCCAAGTAGCTGGGACTACAGGCATACATCACCATGTCCAGCTAATTTTTTATTTTTATTTTTGTAGAGACAGGGTCTCACTATGTTACCCAGCCTGGTCTCAAACTCCTGAGCTCAAGTGATCGGCCTCCCAGAGTGCTGGGATTACAGGCATCGTTTAAAATTTTAATACAGCTCAAACCAGTATGTCTGGTTCATCTCAGCTCCTTCACTGTCAAACCAGGGGGCAGGGACTGCTTCAGTTTCTCTGCCTTCTCTTTGTCTGTGACAACCAAAGTATAATCCTGCTGCTGTGAACTTTATTTTTCTTGATCTTGACAGATATGGCATCCACTTGCCTGGATCTGAGCAGAAAGTGCTTGATTTCCTCCATTTTTCTTTTTCCTTTCTTTCGTTTTTTGAGTCAGAGTCTCGCTCTGTTGCCCAGGCTGGAGTGCAGTGATGCGATCTGGGCTCACTGCAACCTCCGTCTCCAGTGTTCAAGCAATTCTCCTGCCTCAGCCTCCTCCCAAGTAGCTGGGACTACAGGCGCACACCACCAAGCCCGGCTAATTTTTATATTTTTTAGTAGAGATGAGGTTTTGCCATGCTGGCCAAGCTGGTCTTGACCTCTGGTGATCTGCCCACCTCAGCCTCCCGAAGTGCTGGGATAATAGGCATGAGCCACCCAGGAATTTCCTCAATTTTTCGAGGCATGGCAAGGAAGCATGCAGAGAGAGGGTGTGGATTGACAGCGCCCAAGAGACACAGTAAGCCAGACACTCAGCAGATTTAATGGGTGGTTGCAAAGGTAGGTCCTGGGAATGGTTGTTTTGGACATTTTCAGGCTGAGACATCTTTGTGATAGTTAACTGAAAATGTCAGATGAAGTCTGGCTAAGCTAGAAACAGGGACACATAATCAATCGGTTCATATGGTCACTGAAGCCACGTGAATGGTTGGGGTTTCCTAGAGAAAGTGTCAGAAGTAGAGTGTCAAGAGTGCTGAGACAGTGACGTGAAGAACACTGCTTAAGGGAAGGACAGAGGAGAAGCAGCCAGCAAGGGAGACTGACAAGCTATGATCACAGGCAGGGAAGGAAAGCAAGGAGGTTACAATGAAGGACCGGGGAAGGAGCATTTCCACAAGGAAAGTGTGGTCAGCAATATCAAATGCTGCAGTGTGGTCACAAGGGAGGAATGACACATGCCCACTGGTGACATGGAAGTCATCAAGGACCTTGGTGAAAACCAATTCTGTGAAATGGAAACAAATGGTATCAGCAGGGTGTGTTCAGGGGAGTAAGTTGTAGATGAAAATCAGTCTGGCTCTGAAAAGGAGAAAAAAGATGGGGTGCGTGGTTTGTTATTGTCATTGGGTTCTGTTTTAAAGTTAGAAAAGAATTGAGAACATTAAAATACCATTAGGAAGGAGGCTGCAAGATGAACAGATTGAGGACAAAGTACAATTAACAACACAAAATTCTTGAGAAGGCCAGGGAAAATGGGATCTAGAACTTTGCTTCCAAGTATGATCCATGGACTGCAATACTGTCATTACCTGTCAGAAATACAGAATCTCAGACTCCACTCCAGACCTACTGAATCATTATTTTGCATCTTAGGAAGATCCCAGGTACTTGGTATAGACATTAGAGCTTGAGATGCACTGATGGGGAGCTGAGCTCCATTCTACTAAGAGGGAAGGAGGCGAGGATGATGCCTATCATGGTTGATTTGATATCTGATGGCAGGAAGCTGAAGGAATTTATGTCTGCAGTCTTCTACCTCTGTCAAAGAGCAAGTGGAATTATCTGCTGACACTGGCAGGGAAGAGGTGAGGGGAAATATGGGAGATTTCAGGAACACTGAGAAAGTTTAAAATAGTCACTGTGGAAAATGCAGCAGTAAGCTGACCATGAAAATACAGAATTCTGAAGTGTTGCTTAAACCTCAGCTGAAGTGGGGCAGTAGTCAATTTCTGCTGGTACAGATCCACCCAGGCGGTGTGATTTTTTTTCCTTTCCTCCCTCAAAACTTAGCAGCCTGGATGCAACTGTGGAGCAGCCAGAGAGTTTGACTCAGCCAGGACTAGTCTTTTGACAGGTGATGGCACAAGCACAAAGGGTCCAGCAAGTTTAGGACACAAGCAAGAGAGTGACTAAAGCCATGGATGATGGATCCCAAGGATGGCAAGGAAGTAAGAACAGGAAGGCAAGATGGATTAAGATAAAGCAGAGAGGACGAAGAATAAAAACGTTTGTGTATAATGTGAGGTAGCTTTTTTGTAACATAAATTTTATCTGTTTCTTACTTTTATTTGTTTGAGATGCGTCTCACTGTGTGGTCCAGGCTGGAGTGCAGTGGTTATTCACAGATGCGATCACAGTGTACTACAGTCTTGAACTCTTGGGCTCAAGTGATCCTCCAGCCTCAGCCTCCTGAGTAGCTGCAATTACAGCTGCATGCCACCATCCCTGGCAGCTAGTTCTTAAACTGTTATTAACATGGGTAAATTTTATATGGAGAAGAACAATATTAATTGGTTTTTAAAAGCTAACTATCATCCGGGCACAATGGCTCACACGTGCAATCTCAGCACTTTGGGAGGAGGCTGAGGCAGGAGGATCGCTTGAGGCTAGGAGTTTAAGACCAGCCTGGGCAACATGGCAAAACCCCACCTCTACTAAAAATACAAAAAATAGCCATGTGTGATGGTGGGCGCCTTTAATCCCAGCTACTTGGAAGGCTGAGAAGCAGGAGAATCGCTTGAACCCAGGAGGCAGAGGTTGCAGTGAGCCCAGATCACACCACTGCACTCCAGCCTGGGCAACAAAGCGAGACTCCGTCTCAAAAAAAAAAATAAATTTTAAAAAACAGAAACGTAAAAAAAGCTGACTGCTTTCAGACTGACCTGTTAATGTCAAAGATAAAAGTGGCAAGGTGCCTATAGTTGATAAATTACTGTATCATATTACCTGTCATGATCCATATGCCCTTCTAAGCAGGATTTTCTCTCAAATATGCCAGAGTTATATAACACTGGGAATATTTGTAATAAAATTTACTTTACATGTGTCCGTACGCACTGATCTTAATCTAGAAATAAAAATCATTGGGAGGCTGAAGTCGGAGGATCACTTGAGCCCAGTAGGTCGAGGCTGAAGTGAGCCATGATCATGCCATTGCTCTCCAGCCTGGGTGACAAAGACTCCATCTCAAAGAGACAACAACAAAAACAAATTAATAGTTGTAGGTGCTGTTCTTGAATGTCTATATTCAAGAGTAAGGGTCTTGAATGCAGCCAACTATCCAGGGCATCACTGTTGGAGGCTGATTTTCTTCCAAAGGAAACACCCCGTTTTGTTTCATAAAAACTTCAGATTACCAGATGCAGTCCTTACCGGAGAGTTCAAACAGATAGATTGCTTGAGTGGCTTTAACAATATCATCACTGAGAGAATCCTTAACAATTCTAAATGTTTTTTCCACAGCTCCAGAACGTGGTTTTGGTTGCGGCTGCGGTTTCTCTTCTTTGAATTCTGGAACAGCACCTATAAGATGTTATTCAAGCAAATGACCTTAATGCTTGGCAGTGAAGGACCACACACAGAATTAATTAATCAGCAGGACAGACTTGCCACCAATTAGACCTATTTGACCAAAATGACTTTAAATGCATTAAGTGGCATGTAAAAGCATAAATCATATTGACAGAATAACAGTCAAACACACATCAATTGTGACTATAAATGTAAATGGTTTGTACTCTCCAAATAAAAGGCTAACTTTCAGATTAGGTTAAAAATACTACTAAACTATAAATATTCATTATAAACAGACCTTCTATATCTGAGCACTTTGTGAGGCCAAGGCTGGGCGTGGTGGCTCATGCGTGTAATTCCAGCACTTTGGGAGGCCAAGGCGGGCGGTTCACTTGAGCCCAGGAGTTCAAGACCAGCCTGGGCAACATGGAGAAACCCTGTCTCTACAAACAATACAAAAATTAGCTGGGCGTGGTGGTTGGTGTCTGTAGTCCCAGCTACTTGGGAGGCTGAGGTGAGAGGATCACTTGAGCCTGGGAGGTGGAGGCTGCAGTGAGCCGAGATCACGCCACTGCACTCCAGCCTGGGTGACAGAGGGAGACCCTGTCTCAAAAATACAAATAAAATAAACAGACCTAAACACAACTACTGGAGTATTAGGGATGATAATCACTCCTTTGTCAATTTCTCTGAGTTCTAAAACCAAATGAGAACAAAAAGACACTGGAATCAGAAAGATGGAAATCAAAATATCAGCTGTGGAATTAGTGGAGCTATACTGGAGACTGTAGCTTGAATCAACACCCAAGTGTGCTTTCTAATCACTCTACCTCTATATTCAATCTATTCACATAGTCCTTTCACCCATGGATTGATCCTGCATCCTCCCATCACAGGTTAGAAATGCTCTGTTAAGTACAGATCATGTAGAAAACTGAGGACAGCCTGCTCAAAAAGAGAATGCTCAGAAGGGTCTGACATACAACCTCAAGTTCTCCCCATCTCACTTATTCAGATTGATCCTCCCAATAGATGAAAAGGGAGGTTAAACTATTAGCCCCCTGACCAACAGGCTGCCTTCTCTGGAAACACTAGGTCACGAGAATGAAGGTTGCCTGCAACATTTTAAAACTTGCATTCACTTAACCCATTGGCTATAACAACTTAACATATGATGTTAAGCCAGGGGAGAAGACAGCAGTTCATAGGACTGCTTTGCTCCCGTATCATGATGCTGCCCCCCAATACTGTCACGGTTTGTGTATTTATTTATTTATTTATTTATTTTTGAGATTTGTCTCAAAATCTCGCTTTGTCACCCAGGCTGGAGTGCAGTGACTTGATCTCGGCTCACTGCAACCTCCGTCTCCCGGTTCAAGCGATTCTCCTGCTTCAGCCTCCCAAGTGGCTGAGACTACAGGTGCCTACCACCATGCCCGGCTAACTTTTGAATTTTTAGTAGAGGCAGGATTTCACCATGTTGGCCAGGTTGGTCTCAAACTCCTGATCTCAGGTGATCTGCCCACCTTGGCCTCACAAAGTGCTGGGATTGCAGACATGAGCCACCATGCCCAGCCTCTCTGTTCCTTTATTTATCATCCTAGAATCATATAGGGGCAGCTAAGTAGTTGCCCCCAGAAACAGGTAAGAACAATTCATTAATTAAATTAACTCCAAGGCCAATCTGTGCTCTAGGCTGAAGGTGAATCTGTTTCTCAACTCAAATTATACACAGCCATCTTGTCTAATACAACTCCCCAAAGGTTATTAAATGAAATCTAATTGACAGCATAAAGATACTCCATAGTACAAAGTAAGCTATTAATTCATAAAGTATACTGAATATAAATTGCCTTTCATTATATTTCCACAAATTTAAAAAAAAAAACCCTTTTCCTTTTAAAAATTAAAGTACAAACAGATATTACAGATGAAAGCCTTAAAGAATTTCTTTAGCCTGTTTTATTATTGTTTTAAAATTTACTACAGTGTACCCCTTTATTGCCTGCACTGGGGGCTATCCACTTCTCCTGCCTTGCCCTTAGCATGGCGCTGCTTTTTATTGATGTGTAACATACATTCAGAAACAGTGATCAGGTGTATCCAGACCAAAATTTATGTAAGAAAGTGAAAACATCGTGTCATCACCACCTAGGTCAAGAAAGAGGACATTACAGGTATCCCAGAAGCCCACTCCACAACCCCTCCTAATTGCTAACACCATATATTAGTTTTGTCTCATGTTTATCATCAAATAAATGGAATCAATCATACAGTATCTATTTTTACATGCCTGCCGAACCTTCAAAACTCTTCCAAAAACAAATGCAAGAGGCGGGAACACTTTCTAATTAATTACGTGAGGCCAGTTTACCATGACACCAAGCCAGACACAGACATACAAGAAAACTGACTAGGGTAGACAGACAATATGCAAATGCATATACATGCATACATACATAAAATTAAGTCAAGAAGTGATGGGTTCTACTTAAGAATTGGGATAGAATGTAAGAATATTTTAGTTAAGATAGTTTTTGAATAGATACTGAACTAAACAATATAAGGCTGAATATGTAAATACATACACACGTACATATTTATTCTACAATTTGAAAACATAAAATTGGCCAGTAGTTCATCTTCACCAGTTAAATTTGAAAAAGGTATTCCCCATGCTTCAACGATAACACCTAATACTTTCTAACCTTTGCAGTGCTTATTTGAGCAAGGCCACGTCCCAGTTATTTTCCAAGTGTACACCAGTGTAAGTGAATGGGACACATTACTATTAATATAAGGTATTATTATTTAGAAGCCAATTTTAAAATTGAGCTATGAATTCCAATGTTTATCTATTTATTTATTTATTGTTTTTTGAGACAGGGGCTTACTCTTGTCACCCAGGCTGAAGTGCAGTGGTACAATCAAGGTTCACTGCAGCCTCAACTTCCTGAGTTCAAGCTTCCTGAGTAGCTGGGACCACAGGCATGTGCCACTATGCCCAGCTAATTTTTTGTATTTTTTGTAGAGAGAGGGTTTCCATGTTGGCCAGGCTGGTCTCGAACTCCTAGACTCAAGCGATCCACCCGCCTCAGCCACCCATGACTGGGATTACAGACATGAGCTACTGCACCCGGCCTCAAAAAGTTGTTTTTGAAGACATGGAGAACATTCACAATAATTAAGTAATGTTAAATTAAATGAGAATCTATGCAATTAAACATAATATAAATAAAGCTTCTTTAAAAAAAAAAAAACACACTATGAACCTGCTGGTAAAATATTTATTTCTGGGTATACATTTTAAATTATATGTGCAAAAAAAAAAAAACACACAGTGGTTGAAAGGAAATAAGCCAAAATATAAATGTACTTATAACTGGATTACAGGTACTTTAAATTTTTTTCTTTGAGCTGTTTTATACTTTTTTTTTTTTTTTGGAGACAGTCTTGCTGTGTCACCCAGGCTGGAGTGCAGTGGCGTGATCTCAGCCCACTGCAATCTCCACCTCCCAGGTTCAAGCGATTCTGGTGCCTCAGCCTCCCAAGTAGCTGGGATTACAGGCGCATACCACTGCACCCAACTAATTTTATATTTTTATTTGAGACAGGGTTTCACCGTGTTGACCAGGCTGGTCTCAAACTCCCGACCTCAGGCGATTCGCTCACCTCAGCCTCCCAAAGTGCTGGGATTACAGGTGTGAGCCACTGCACCTGGCCTGTTCTATACTTTTTTATACTTCTGTATTAAGCTTTTCTTTTCAAAAATGTTTTTAATTTTTAATGTTTTAATTTTTTTCTATTTGTAGCGATAGGGTCTCGCTATGTTGCCCAGGCTGGTCTTGAACTCCTGTCCTCAAGTGATCATCCCACCTCTGTCTCCCACAGTGTTATGATTACAGGTGTGAGCCCCTACATCCTGCCCGTACTAAGCTTTTCTATACAGACTAATTTAAAATGCTATCAAAATTAAGTAAAGTATATAACAAAATTGATTGGCTGTAGCCAAAACTATGTTAAGGGGATAAATGCACAAACTTTATTTCATTATTTTAAAAGAAATAACAATAAAGTATTAGCCCAACAAGTAAGAACAGGAACAAAACCGACCTCAAAGAAAGGAGAAAACAATAAAGCAAAAGTAAAAAAAGTGAGGTATCAGATGGTTGCACAATTCTGGGAAGATGCTAAAAATCATTAGACACTTTCAAATGGTGAATTTTTTTTTTTTTTTAAACAGAGCTTCACTCTGTCGCCCCATCTGGAGTGCAGTGACATGATTTTGGCTCACTGCAACCTCTACCTCCCAGGCTCAAGTGATTCTCCTGCCTCAGCCTCCCAAGTAACTGGAATTACAGACGTGCACCACCACACCCAGCTAATTTTTTATATTTTTAGTAGAGACAGGATTTCGCCTGTTGCCCAGGCTGAACTCCTGAGCTCAGACAATCCGCCTGCCTCAGCCTCCCAAAGTGCTAGGATACAGGCATGAGCCACCGTGCCCGGCCTAAAATGGTGAATTTTTTGGTGTATGTAAGTTATATCTCAAGTTGTTTTTAAAAGGATAATGAATCAGAAAAGAGAAAACCTGTAGAATTAAACATGAAATAAAATTTAAAATCTGGTGCTTTTGAGAAAAAAAAATGATACTATAAAATAAGCAACTGATCAAGAAAAAAGAAAACTAATTTTTAAAACAGAGGAAAGAGGCCAGATGCAGAGGCTCACACCTGTAATCCTAGCACTTTGGGAGGCTGAGGTGGGTGGATCACCTGAGGTCAGGAGTTTGAGAACAGCCTGACCAACATGGTGAAACCCCGTCTCTACTAAAAATACAAAAATTAGCTGGGCATAGTGGCGGATGCCTGTAATCCCAGCTACTCAGGAGGCTGAGGCACGAGAATTCCTTGAACCTGGGAGGTAGGGGTTGCAGTGAGTCAAGATAGCACCACTGCACTCCAGCCTGGGCGACAGAGTGAGACTTTTTCTCAAAAGAAAAAATGAAA